ATCTTGATTAATTATTATATTTGACAAAAAAATTTAAATTTCAAAAACAAAATGTTATAAAAAATAAAAATATATGTACTATAGTTAACTTTTTCAAAAGTTTAAGGGGTAATTTGTCAACCACTAAAAAGAATTCCATTAGTTAGTTAACAGAATGTTTATCAACTAGATCATTCTAAAATAAAATTGATAGCTTATAAATCATTTTGAAAAAAAAATTATTTCTAAACTAAACTAAAATAAACTACATAGTTAATAAATTATTTATTAAATTTAGTCCCCACTCACCCACCTTCTTCCATTCTCCCCAAACCAATCATACTTCAGGTAATTAAGGAAAAAAATCTCCCAGTTCGCATCCTTTTGAAATACACCACTATGAAAAGAGTCTTAAATATGCTAGAAGAAACTGTTGAAGTTCCTCATCCTCCGGTAAATCCCCCCTCATCATTTTAATTTAAATCCACCAAAGCCCCATGCCATGATCTGTTAATAAAGAACCGTCGTCAATACTGTTCTATTTCTAGCGAAATTTGAACTAATTTTCTAAAGATAGCATATTTCCTATTCCAAAGCTTATGAAAACTTATAAGATAGTTAATTTTGCTCTAAAGGTATATGTTAATGGTATATTTACTGTATTGATTAAAAAAATAGTATATTATTGTTCCTCTTTTATTAATTAAAAAATAAAAATAAAAATTAATTTTAATAATTGTGGAATTAAAATTAAAATAGAGTTGAACGAGTCTAGGACTTTTTCTAATTCTTCTAAAGTTGAACGAGCTTACCATATAGTTGACTGCTTTTCGTTGCAAAAAGCCAAAAACAAGATCCATAAAACATGGATTCCTTCAGATGGCTTCCACAACAACTCCTTTAACATTTATTCGAAGTCCTACGGAAGGTAAATCATCATGGAAAAGTCATTCTCATGTCCTTCGGGAGAAATAATTCTTAATCCAAACCAGCCAATGATCAAGAAGTATGGAGTATTTCTAGGAAAGGCATTAATATGGATTTAATTAATGGAGAGTGGAAAAACTAGTCTATGTATGAAAGAATGGGACCATTGACGTAATTCCGTGCCTTGATTCTAGCGTGGAAAAAACTCTTCTTAAGTAAGAGGTAAGTATGTTGATTATGTTGCAATGCGCTTCTGTTTATGTGTTTTTGGGTTTTGAGGAATGTTGTTTGTGTTATGGATTTG